TAAACAAAAATTGTTTGCTCTAAAAACACAAAACAATTAATTGATTAATTATAGGGGTCATATAAATTGGTTGTTTTCCATCAATTAGTTGAAGATTTTGGTAGAACTTCGATTCGAACAAAGTGTAAAACATTTTTAATAAAAATTGTGTTATTTGTTAAATTATGAAACCCTGATATTAAGTATATTTTGCTCACTTTTTGGAACAGAGAAATAACTAAAAAGACAAAAGGATAATTTATGATTCGAATTTTGACCAATAAAACAAGAAAAAAAATCAACAATTCATTTTGAAGTTTATTGTAGTAAAAATATAAAATGCGAAAAAAAACAGTTAATTTAAATGACCCGTCATGTTTTGACGGGTTTAGTTTTTATTTTTATCCATTTTTTAGTTTTGAAAGGTAAAAAACGACATTTAATTTTGGACTTTAACATGAATGTTCATGATGTATCTCTGATCCACGACAATAAAAACAAAAATTGTAAAATATACCTTTATCACATTAACATGGTGCTCAATTTTAAGCTTGTGATTTTCAAAGTTAATTTATAAATGATCAAACTGGGTTTGGCTAGAGACGAAAAACGACTTCTTGTTAAAATAAATAATAATAGACAAATCAAAATATTGGATATTGAAAACATAACAGTTAATCAGGCAATTATATTTGCATGTTCAATTCTTTTACTCATTGCCATACTGAGCAGTTATAACCATAAAAAACGAATGATTAAAAAGTTAAATTTGACAATTTTTATTTTTAAAAATAATAATTTGATTATAGTTTGATAATAATTAATTTTTACTATTATTTGAATAAATAACTGGATAAAAACTATATTCTTGATAATTTCAGACAATTAACAATAGATATACATATTGCCTAAATGAGTTATGTAACTTTTATGTGGAATAATCATATTATTAATGTTATATGAATACAAATTGATAAATTAATTTCACACCAAAAACGTCTGGAACGTTTTTTAATGGTATTGATCACTTTAAAATGGCAGATAAACACGTGATTGACATGATTTGGACATTGTATCGTGTAATGAGTTTAAACTATTTATTTTTGTTGTTTATAACAAACAAAACAAAAATAATAAAGCAAAAATAAATATACTAGTTAATATAATTTATTTGTAGTTTTCGACCATGCATATTGTTTAAAAACAAATAATAATAAAAAATACAATCATATTTGAATAAAATAACCATTAAATAATTATAATTATATAATAAAAATATATTCTATGTTTAAGTTTAAACAATCTTACCAAATATAACAAAGTTAATGAGTGAGAAGAAGCCTTATAAGTATGTTGAAAAGAAAGAAGGAAAGGGCATTCCCGCGATTGCATGTGATCACACCCGTCTGCTTTCTCGCCTTAAGTTGTATCCAGAGTATTTAGAACTCTTCAGAAAATGCGAGGCAGAAGTAAATTGTTGTAACAGTCATTTCGACCAAATTAAACTTGTCATTGAAAGTCTGGGAGATGTTTCTTGGCGTCGGGGCTGGAGAGCGGATATAAAAGAGTTCTTTGGAGGTGTCAGGAGCGTGGAAAAACAGATTCGAAAGGTCGAGAACAAGAAAGGAGGAGGACTCGTTGGACGCCCAAGTCTTTTGAAAAAGGAACAGAAAGAAGAAGTCCAAAAGTTTATAGAAACTTTTCAAAAGGCGAAACAGCCAGTGGAACCTCGAGATGTTAGAGATTTTGTCAACCTGAAGCTTATTAAAGAGGGTGAGAAATCGCTAACAACAAAGCAGATGTATGAAATTGTCAAGAAAATTCCAGAGCTTAGTGTTAAAAAAGGAGAGTTGATGGAGACACCCAGAGCAATTGTGTCAAAAGAACTCATCATAGAATACCTCGGTGAGCTGAAAAAAGCAGTGGATGGGAAGCCAGCGGCGTTGGTTTATAACTTGGACGAGGTTGGGTTCGATCTTTTTGTTGATGCTCTTTCAAAGCCGGTATGTTTTTCTCATG